AAAAAAAAAAAAAAAAAAAAAAGAATGAGAGCCTCTGTCTTAGACCAAAGGACTGATCATGGGATCCTAGAGACCCTAAAATGTTCTGATTTGTCTGAGTTTATTACGCACACACAACAACAATAAAAACTATGTATTGGGCCGGCCCGGTGGTGCACTGCTACAGTGCGCTGCTTGGGAGCGCGGTGGCGCTCCCGCCAAGGGTTCAGATCCCACATACAGACCGGTTCCCGCTCACTGGCTGAGCAAGGTGTGGGAGCAACACCGAGGGTTGCGATCCCGTTGCCGGTCCCGGTCCAGTACGGGCGCGACACTGAGGGTTGTGATCCGCTGCCGGACACGAAAAAAGACAAAAAGGAAAAAGAAAAAACTATGTATTAACATTGTATGTGGTTATTAGGCAATAGGAGCTAATACCTGCGATGAGAAGTGCCATTTTATCAACTTGAATTTGAGAGAAAACGGGATAACTAACAGAGAAAGGATCTACTGACCTTCCCTGTGAGAAGGAACTCAAAATGAAGTATAACAATAATAAGCTACAGTTGTAAAACCAATCACATTTTAGAAGGTTGTATAGTGTGGTTTTTGTTTGGTTGGTTGGTACCAGCTGTATTAGTCTTCTAGGGTGCCATAATAAGGTATGGCAGACTGGGTGGTTTAAACAGAAATCTATTTCTTTACAATTCTTGAGGCTAGAAGTCCAAGATTAAGGTGTCAGCAGGGTGTTTCTTCTGAGGCTTCTCTTGTTGGCTTATAGATGGCCACTCTGTCTTCACATATTCTTCCTTCTGTGTGTGTCTGTGTCCTAATATCCTCTTATAAGGAATCAGTCATTGAATTAGGGCCTATCCTAATGACCTCATTTCAATCTAATTATCTCTCTAAGGACCCTATCTCTAAATACAATCACATTCTGAGATACTGGAGTCTAGGACTTCAACATATGAATTTGGAGGAAGGGGGAGATACAATTCGGCCCATAATATCAGTGTAAAAAGTTTAGCAAATATTTTTTAATTAACATACCCAGCACATTCTTGTAACACTACTGGTACAGGTTCATAATCCTCATCTGAAGCCCTTAAGGCTGTAGATGTTCGGTAAATAGGACATTTTGGGGCTTTCAAAACGTGGTATGGTACAAATACTCCATAATTACCCAGCACTCCGAGTGGATTCTGAGATAGTGACCTGTTATCAGACACATTAATATTTCTGAAAAAACACAAATATTCACCGTTAGTGGGAAAATTTAAGTCTATAAATCACCTTACATCAGTTCTACTTAGGTT